TTATTGGAAAGATGGTACCCGTAATTTGGTTTAGAGATCCGATGATTGGATCATGAAGAAATTAACGGTACCCCTAAATTAGTATATGAGAATTGAAGTCGGTTGTGTTCTTTCCTTAAAAACTACTTGTTTATTAAAAAGTTCTATAAACTCAAGATGCGCTCAACTTTCAAAAGTACCTAATAAAAAATTTTAAAAAAAGAGTCAGTAAAAATAAATTTATTGATTCCATGAATTTTTGCACTTTTATGTTCATTTTTTCGATTTCTGGTTTTCGATAGATGGTGACTTTTCACGATTGCTAAATTTTTTAAAAATTTCGAGTTCCGAAAAAATTAACTGAACTCTCAAGAAAAACGAAAAATTCATATAAAACGACGGACGAGAAATGGAAAAGAAATTTTCTTCTACCAAATTTTCATAAACCAGTTTGCAGCTCTCAAGAAAAAAATGCTCGTATATTTATTTCCTCATGAAAATTTACAGCAAAAGCAAAGCGCTTTTTCAAGCAACAGAAATTATAATAAATATTTCTTATAATTTCCTTGAGAGCTGGATTCTTAGCTTTAAGATACAGTTTGTATTTGAGGTTATTAGCTTAAGGGGGGGTTTGAACCCCAAAACCCACCCCTTGTGTGCGCTAATGCTTGGAGGCTTATTATTTTTTATTTAGTATGTATAATTGAATTTTAATTATGTAGATCTCTGTCAATATTTTTTTTTTCTGCGAAAGAATTAGCACGCTTATTTTTTCGGTTATAGTATTAGTTGTCTGTGTAAATGCACGTTTACAAGTTGCAACAGACAAAACAATGGCAACAATTTGCAAGTTGTTCGTGTCAGTCTGATAGTTGCAGTGCCGTCTCCCCCTTGGGCCACTTGTCTTGGATTCAAAATTCACGGCAGCTCTGCACAATTTGCTTTTGGGGTTCATTGCATTTTAATTGGCTTAATTCCTTTGTTGTTATTGGGATAATGAAATGTGGCAAAAGGGTGTCACAGTGACTTGGAAGCCTGTTGAATGTAAATATATACATGTGTAGGAATATTTGTAAAAAAATACTTATGTACTTTGTGTGCATTGTTGCTATTTAATCTCATCATTAGGCCATGCTTTCTAATAACAACAACATAGTCGGCTGAATTTTTGACGTTGTCACTTGCCGGCAAAAATGCAGACAATGGCGTATATTTATATAAAAGCACTAATGCATAGAAAGGTGTATACATATATACGTATCCCAGTAGGAAAGGAGCATCTACTGCCATACACCCATACAGATATCGGCCACTAAGCAATGTCTAATAACCATTTAGATTCGCATGATTAATTTATTCATCTCCAATCCAGCCCTTAATGTAGAAAAGATACAATTAACATCATTTCTGAAGATTAAAAAATTTTATCTGTATACAATATTCAAAACCAAACCGAAAGCGTAAGTATTAACGAAGCGTTTATTGTGGCATATCTTGTTGCGCTTTGCGGTTCGCTCACACAGTTAGAAAAGTGACATCAAACCTAAAATTTAATAAAGTAATTCTCCCACTACTCCTTAAGACTGGAAATTTTTCTCCCGTCTTCTCGTCACTGCATCGCATTCGAAACGCATGTGCTCGGAAGCTTCAGCAACATTGCGACAGAAATACCATAAATTACTAGACCGGATTCAGTCGGAAGATTTTAATAAATCTGTACACAAATTTCTTAAATATATTGTTTGCCAAAATATATTCCAAAGACTACACTTCAATTGTCTTAAACGTTTTCTACTCCTGACCAGTTTACTAAACTCTCATCCTCTGACGAATCGTCAAACCAGAATTCCGTTGTACACATTTTTATCAAGTTTTTATAAATTCGCTTTCTTTTTTACTTAAATTTGCACAAATTCAAATACGTATATAAAAGCACACTATTTAGTTTGCTCGATTTGTAAACCAACCTTCCCAGCGGAATTCAAGATATCGCTATTCTTCATCGAATGAGCGTCATAATACCAAATGAAAATTCGTTCGATTAGCGCTTTCGACCATAGTCGAAGATCGAATGCAATTCATATTACGGACCTTTAACTCACGGGCTTGCCCACCATGCATATTTTGAAGAGGTCAACTACCCCTCTAAACATTCTGCCTCTTCAATAACACCATGTACATTTACTTTTCGTTCTTAAGTCTTTTTTTGTTGTTCTTTAATGAACTTATTTTACAGTGTCATTATGTTCACAATCTCCCGCAGCGAATCGTCCTAGTACTAAAAAAAAAGATTCGTCAAGTCGTTTTCAATTCGACTTTTAAGCGACACTACAAATTGGTCGAAAACTTCCATATACAATTTTCTATAGAAATCTTGTGATGTTTTGAATTGAGAACATACCCTGCATCATTGCTTATCGGAAGCTTACACTAACGCGGAATTTATGGCTCATCAAGGTCCAATTGATCAAGAGCTTGAACGCCATTTTGCCACATAGAGTGAAATTTTGGCGGTACTCACTTTCTGTAGCATTTTAGGTGTAAAGTTGCTACGTAGCAATCTAGCACGCATTTTGTTGTTGGAAGAGCAACAAAACATGTGGTAGATTGCTACGTAGCAACTTTACACCTAAAATGCTATTCAACGTGAGCTCCCCTTTTGTATTACGACATCCATAAAGAATGTCATTTACTGCTTTAACCCTTCCATGACATCCTTGGTACAGCTGTACGAATTCGGATTTTTAAAACAAATTTTTGAAATTAAGCATACATCTAGAGAGCCTCATGTATAGGTTTAAGAATGAATTAATGGATTTTTTTACATGTTTTCATAATTCGTATGTCGGTGGGAGTGGCCAAGGTACATTTTTACCTTCATTGGCATCGTTGATACAATTGTATCACCAACATATTCTTAACTTTGTAATTTCAAGAACTAGTACCCGGCAAACATATTTTGAGCGTTCAGAATATACATATGAGTTCAAAAACAGCGCTAGGTGGGTAAGAAATATTAGCTTCAAGAACAAAAAATGTGTGAATCTTATAGGGAATTTACATGAGGCGATTTTTCAGGCGATTTTTAGTTGAAAGCAACAATCGCTTCGTGTAAACGGCCTTTCAACTAATCGCTTTCAATGAAGTTGGTCGGCTGCCTACTTTCGTTCAACTTTTGGTTCGACTAATCGCCTGTGAAAGTGGAATCATGTAAATTCCCTATTATATGAATCTTTTAGTAGTCATATGTATATGATCCAAGTTATGAGCCAGGACTTTGGGCCAATATAAAAACAACAAAAATTCGAAATTTATATCTAAAGCCCAAAATACAATAACGCAGTGGCAGTGGCAGCCGCAGTTTTTCGAAATCAGCTGAAGGTGTGGTATCCAATGAAGCGACTCACAATACAGTAGTGGCAGCTAGCAGTACTGCTCAGTTTAGTCCAAATTCTTAATTCACTGCCACTGCCTTCATCACAGCAAACTTCGCATGTTGAATTTGACATAAATGAAATGCAGCCAACTTCTCTTAATATCACTGAAGCCTAAAAGACAACAACAAAAATGTAAAAAAATGGGAATGTCAAAAAAAGCAGTCACTGACAACGCCGTATTGTGTTTTCTGCGGCAGTGACTGCCAATATTAGCAGTAACAGCTGATTTTAAAAACTGTCACTGCCACTGGCGCTGCGCTATTGTATTTTGGGCTCAAGCCTGTTTATACAGATATAGAAAATATTTAGGAAACAAAAACTAAACAAATAAGGATTACTACAAATCTTCAATGATTTTTTTACCACCAAACCAGGTTACATATTTGTATTTCGTATTTACATATTTCCCTGCTCGCAGTCAGTCAGCTGACTGAATGAAGTTGGCTGCGATTCAAACCATGGAGTTACTTAATTTCAGCGGAAAATCTTTTTTAGATATGCGAAAATGCTAAAATATAATTGGGCAATTGTTTAAATTAATATCAATCGCTGCGTTAAACTGAAGTAATTTATGGTTGGTGAAAGAGATCCTTAAAATTTATACAAGAAAAATGATGCATCTTGACTTTATTGTGTCCAAAACTGTTCTGATTTTTTTCTTCCAAATCAAAGCATGCCATGTGAAATACAAAATTGAAAAATTAAAAATTTAAATTGGATAATATGAAAGTTGATGCAACTTTCTTTTTTAGTAATTTTTGTGTTTGCTTCTCGAAGCATTGATCAATCTTTGCAAGGCTTTCGAGACCAAATAATTTGAAAAAATCAAACCACCTACTATACTGATACTAACTGCGTCCGAAGAAAAAGAAAATGCACATTTGAAAATAAAGGCGGATTCACCGCTCGTGTCCGGACACTTTTTGTTAGTAATTTTACGCGTTCCTTTCCCACTCTGTCTCACTGAAAGCATGACAAAAGTGTGCTGAACACTCTTTGTTCGAATCAAATTGATTTAATTGATTTTCTGTCCGAACGACTTGATGATTCGGGTTGACGTGCTCTCCTTTATATGCATTTGCATAGAATTGCATGTATTATTTTCCCTCAAAATCATACGTGGGCAACAATATCATCAGCTGTTTGCTTCAGAACAAAATAAAATGTGCCGAACTGAACGGTAGGTACTTCAGCACCTTCTCCGGCAAAAATGTTTTGAGAGCAAATAAAAAGTTGTCCGGACACGAACGGTGAACCCGCCTTTAGATTTCTCCATAAGCCCTAACCATAAGCATCATACATACATACATAAATAAATATCTCCTGAAAGTCACACCTGTCGAAATTTCCTAGTGGGATGCAATATGTACGATTTGCTTGTTTGCTTGTTGTGCGTCACCCGACTGACATTTGGCGTTGGGCATTTCTTCGAAATTTATTGTTTCCCAGATTTAAATTTTTTCCAAGTGATTTTCATGCGATTATACTTGCGCTTCGCACGAGTTGAAAATCCCTTAATTAAATGAAATTAGCAAAATACTTAAATTTAATACCATTATATTTGTGTTTTCTTTCTATTTGCAGAACTCATATACAGGTGCGTATTTGCGACAGAAGTTAAATATTTTCCACAATGACACGGACAGATTCGCCGTTTTTGCAGGTATTACATAAATAAACGCTTATACACTAACAAATGCCCCAATTTATAAAGAATCATATATATGTACATTAGAGTGGTCCAAAAAAATTAAGTTGGAATTTTAATGCCGGCACCCCCTAGGATTGTTCTATATCGAAAAAAATATACCCCTATTTTTTTATTTTGAAATCAAGAAAATATTTAGGCGGTGCTCAAAGCACTCAAAGTTTTCCATGTATTTGTTATGGAGAAAAACCCATTTTTCGTAGAAATGGTATAAAACTCTTAAAAATCAATATTTTTCAATCGGAAAACTGTGTTTTTCTTCAGGAGACTTCCAGTATTAATATCCAATTGTTTATTAAACTATTTTTTATGATTAAAGATTTTCCCATTGCATTTTCTAGGGGTTTTGGAGGACCTATAAAATATAGTTACTATGAAAAAATCGTTAAAGAGACAATCGCGTATTATGACTGGGAATCTCCTGAAGATAAGAAAAGTTTTCCGATCGAAAACTGTTGATTTTCAAGAATTCTACACTATTTCTAAGAAAAGTTGTTTTTCCCCCATATAAAATACATGGAAAACTTTGAGCGCTTTGAGCAAATAGGGGTATATTTTTTTCGATATAGAATAATCCTAAGCGGGTGGCGGCATTAAAAATCCCACCTTATTTGTTTACATACATTTTTGGACCACTTTAATGTACATGTTGAGATGCTGATATGAAATGAGTGGCACCATAACCATTTTATTTGTTCATTCTGATTTCTTATTTTGCGTTGCCTTGTTAATAAAATTAGTGAAAGAAATGCTAATGATTTAATATTCATGGTAAACGTTTAATTGTAGAACATGAGCTGTGTCACTGAAACTTTTGACCTTTCTAGTTTAGGTTTTATTAGGCGCTCGCCCGTTGATACTAGTTTGAGGTAGATTTTGACATTGGAAAATCACACTAAGGATCACTAATGATCAGATGGAATTTTTAATCTTACCGCGTGAACTCCAATCGAACAGTAAATAACCACCAATTGCGAAAGTTCTATGTTTGTAAGCATAAGTAGTCTACCCTGTCCATAAGGACCTCTTAAATGCACAAGTCCAAACAAGGGCCTAAAATATAGGTTTTCTCTCTGGCGTCAGGATTTTTTAAAAGGTTTTAAATTTACAAGGATATGATTAATTGCAAAAAGTATTTAAAAAATTCAGTGAATTATATGTTAAGGATGAAAATACCCACGACCACATCAAAGGTAAATTTAAATACCAATTCGTCCTTGTTTACCAACAAACTCTATTTAATTCTAGATCGAGCTGCAATTTAAATATATAATTTTTTTCATTAATCATATCTTTAAAATTTCAGAGTCCTTTAAAACATCGGCCAGTGAGATATTTGTACAATCGAGGTGGACAAAAGTACTATAAAGAACATGCCCCACATTCTATTATTTTTACATATGTGATACAAAAATAACCCACTGCTACGAAAATTAACACGAAGCAAAATAAAAAATATCGGTCGGCATATTAGCGATAAAATAGTTCAAACATTTTCGTCAAAAAAAAAAAAAAAAAAATTTTTAATGAGAATTCTTAGTGCAATTTAATTAGCGTTTTATGCATTTCAATTCTTATTCTTTTTTTGAGGCATCCACGTGATTAGTGACAAAAATGGCGACAAACTTAAAAAAAAGATTGGATTTGTTTGAAACCCTTAACCCCCATTTTGAATTTTGAAAATCTGACATCAGATTCGTAATCAGCAACCCCAGAAACCCACTGGAAACATGTTTTAACCCTTGACAATGTTTAAAACGTTCAGTAGCAACGTTTTAATTTTAGTACTTTTTTTTAATTCGATCGCCATATTGGATCCGCCATTTTGAATTTAAAAAAATTGACTTCAGATTCGTAATAGGCGACCCCAAAAACTCTCGAGTGCCGGGTTTCGAACAAATCCAATCATTTATTTAAAAAATGGCCCGCCATTTTGGATGAGCTATTTTGAATTTCGAAAAACTGACTTCAGGTCCCTAATAAGCAACCCCAGAAACCCCCTGGTAACAGTTCCAAACCATAACAACGCGATTTAATTTTACTAGTCTCTTTTCGAGAGCATATTTTCGGACACTAGGCCCATTCTAACTGCCCAAGACAGGTATGTAATTAAGGGAATGTTCCCCAATAATACCAGAGTAATAATATGTAAAAACAAATTTTTAGCTGCATTTTAACATGTCAAGAAAATAAAAAATTGAGAATATCAACGTTTTTATAAAAAACCGACCAGCGCGACCTTTAAGAAAACTTTTTTTTTTCAAAATAAAAAAAAACGTTTCTCTTTTCTTATCACAAATAACAATAATTTGAGGTAGCGTTTATGAATATCCAAAAAAAAAATTTTTTGAACCACTCTAACGTATATACATATATTAACAAAAAATTTCGTCTTTTATTTATAATTTGTCTATCTAATGATCAAAAAGGTAAAGAAATAATTTTGTCCACCTAGATTGCCGAAATATCACAAAATGAATGTAAGAATAGAAACTACAATACTTTTTCCTAAAAAAAAGCACTTTTTACGCAGTAGGCGTAAGCAAAAGTATACTTCGCTTAGTTTTTCCAATTTCTGCGAGTTCAAAGCCTCCATAATCGTTTCATATATAAATTTTTCACATGGTGATGGAAAATATAGCTTTCCAAATTTCAGCTATCGAAAATTTTGGAAATTCGCAACAATTCACAAATCATGGCCATTCTGGGAAAACGGATAGCATGTCGAAAAACAGCATCCTAAATATAACCCAAAAATATCCATAAATAAATTTGTCCACCTAGATTGTTGAAATATCACACTGTGCAGCAAATGCATGCATATATATACATATTAAGGCTCAGAAAAGATGCCATTTATAAAAAAGACTGAGCAATAGCAGTGATTTTACACCTGAAGTATTAGAGCCAATTTTGACAAGCTGATTTCTACCCGCCAAGTAGCTTCGCATGAGACGCGTTGCGGAATTTCCAAAACAAAGGTAGGTTTTTAACGTCATGCCATGTTGCCAGTCTGCGGGATTTCGCTCTTTTTTCGCTTTTGTATGAATTTTATCTGCATGCTTTTTAATATGTTGAAAACTTTGCTGGAAAACCTTAAAATGTTTGCATGGAACCATGGCGCAATAAACAGGTGAAGTAATAAAACAGCATTCCCGCTTTATTTTCTGACATTCAACTGCCTTATAGGCACATTTTATAGGCAATTTTTCAAATAAGGCAGTGTCAAAATATTTATTTTCACTATAATATTACTTCACCTGGTATAATTCCACTATTTGTGGGGTGCATGCAATAACACCAGATGCAATAATTCCCATTACTTGGATACTAAAAATCAGTCTCAGAAGTGAACTAGTGTCATTTTATTACCCCCTGCAACTTCGAATGCAGATGATTTAGGTTTGGAAAACATAGCTAGCTCCCTGATAGTTTACCATTGCATCACAGTCGATTGCCATTGTTCTTTTAGTGCCAAGGATATCCGTGCCAGGATCAGATGTCCAAGTCAAGATGTTGAGTGCTAGACCCAGTCCGGGGTCTAAAAGAGAGATAAGATGCAAAAATGAAAATCTCTGATAAGCTGGTCTAACCTTTGGTACAGAAATTTTAGCTTCGGAGAAAATATCCAGTGCCCTGATAGTAGCTTTTTATTGTATGGCTGTCACCTGCCAGAGCTTGTCATGGCAGTATCAAGAAAATCCTGTCAGAAAAAACTTGCAAGTAACAGGATGTGTTACACCAAAAAGTATCTAAGTTCAGTGATGCCAGATAGTCGGTAATTTCCCTATTTGAGGGATATTTTGCAAAAAAAAATATTAAAAGGGAAAAAAGGGACATTTCAAATAAAAAAGGGATTTTTTCGATACAGTTATCGATGCATAATTGATCAAAATTCAAGAATATTCTACACTCTTACGTAATTAATCGTTCTGAAGATGTGATGTGGAGTGAAATAATATATAACTAATAAAAAATATAAGGACAATTTTGAAGAGCAAGAAAGCATCTTTTCAATTATAACTGGTGTTTCATATAAAAAACGGAACAAATTATCTGATGAAATGTTAAATAGCACATGTCTGTGCTTTAATTTTAAAGTCGCCAAAAAATCATATTCGCTTACACAATGCAAATAATTTGTAACTGGGATAGTTTAAAGAATTGCCAGTAAGTATACAACAATAAAAAACACAAATGTATGTATGCATTAGTTACCTTAATATGGAAAACGTTTCTTCAAAATCTTGGGGTTTAATAAACGCTGAAGCTAATTTATGACTGTAGGAGGTGTTTTTAAATTATTTTAGGCCCTTAGTGAGTAATCACCGACCTTTGAATTTCGAAGGAATATTATATGTGTGGTGTAGTGGTAAGCAGTGCGCCCTTCCACTCCGCAGGGCCTGGGTTTAAGCCATGGTCAATGCGCGATCGCAAAAAAAAATTTAGAAAAAAATGTGTTTCTTAACAGCGGGCGCCCTCGCCAGGCAACGGCAAACCTACGAGTGTATTTCGCGACCATGAAGACAGTCTCATAAAAATCCACTCTCCGTTCGGAGTCGGCGTAAAACTGCACCAAAAGGGATTATCTCAAAGGGAAACTTTTATTCTAGAGCCAGTACAGGCTCTTAGCAGATAAACTTATTTCGGTACAACCTATTCTGTGCCCGCCAAGCTTACCCTTCTAAGGCTGTCGCACGACAATTATAGTCCTGGATAATTTTTGTATGCTAGGGCTTGTCCAGATTCTATCGGGGAGAAAATTGTTAAGAAAATCTATTAAGCGTCGAAATAAATTTTCTGTAGAAGATATTTCCATGCCAGAACACGGAAACAAGAGGCTCTACATGGAAACAAGACTTTGTCTCGAGAACTTCTGGCCGGGTAGCGCTTGTTGTCAAGATTAATCCTTCGATTCATCGCTAGCCTGACACTAGTTGTGTTCGTTTGGAAAAGCCAGCAAAGATTGGCCAGGAATGAAATTCAGAGAGAGAAACTTACAGTGTTTAGCGCGAACAGGAATTTGCAGAAATTTGCAAGCTTCACTGTCAGCTGGTGTCGGTTGAATTTCGAACATGCAGTAAAACCCGCTTAAGTACCTCACGAAAAATGTCAGCTTTTTGAGGTACTTAGGCGGGTTGGGTACTTAAAAGAACCCGCATCGAGGTACTTAAGCGAACATAATTACTGATGTAGTTACATCTTCTTGTTAACTTACATAAATACTTGAATAACAACAAATATATAGTGCAAAGGTATGTAATTTTTAAAAGAATTAAATTGTTTAAAAAGTTAAAGTTGGACATGTCGTTTTATACCAAATTCAAAATGAGATAGGATTTTTCAATTAATTAAAATACAGTTCATTCCCTAACAAGCACCACATAAACCTAAGCTTAAGATTTTGTAGAACACTTAAAAAAAAATATCATCATAATTTCAAACTTTTTTCTCAGAAGGGTTTTTTGAGTATACAGTTTTATAGCCCATTCAATTTTAGTGCAATAATGTGCAAGTTTCAAGTGGCTAAAAATTACCGTTGATTTTTTATAATTTTTTTTATCGAATGTGTGTAGCGCTGCTACTGAAATTCAAAACACGTAAATATTTTAAGGAATTTTAAAAGAGTAATTAAAATGGGATAATCATAAGTAAAATTGTAAATGGGGCACGAAAAATGTAGGTACTTAGGCGGGTTGGGTAAATAAGCGGGGAGGTACTTAAGAGAGGGAGTTTCTTCAGATTATATAAAAAATTTCACGGTGTCCAAAAATGTTGGTTACTTAAGCGGGTTAGGTACTTAAACGGGGGGGATTGGGTACTTAAGCGGGTTTCACTGTAATAATTTTATTAAAGTATATCAAGTGGAAAACAAAACAGGACCTATACGCATATTTCTTCTTAAACGCGTGAGAACCGAATACGGGATCGATTTCCAGTAAAATCTGACAAATTCTGACTATTTATGGCTAGTTCGGGCTCGTACGGGAACGCAACTATTAATAAACCCTCCTCCGGTGTTGTAAGGAAATTTCATACGTCAGTATATTGCTATGATTATGCAATTTTTCTCCAAAATAAATAAAATTTATTGAATTTCTTTTAAATTATTTCCTCATATTTAGGAATATCAGTCTTCTTTTAATGAAAATTATGTAATTATTTGTTGTTTTTTTTTTAACTGCAGAATTTGATTCGTCTACAGCGAATGGCTCGAGTTTGGATTGTCTGAATTTGATTGTACAAAATATTAATCGAACTGCTGCACAAAGTACACCAACATCAACAACGGTTGTAGGAAACACCAAACCAAATAGCAAAACAAGCAGCAACTTAAGCAATGCCTCCAGCAATGTACCGGTTACATCTTCACCATCAACAGCAAGTATTACCAGCACTATATCGCAAAGCTCCTCACAGTCATCGCTCAATGCGACTTTCAAGCAAAAATGTACCACATAAGAGTGAACCAAATTATATAGCTTTTACTTACGTATCAACCAGTTTAGTAAATTGTTAGTATACATACTTATGTACATTTATCGAGCCCTAACCGCCAAAAATACGCAAGCGACATTTTTTTCCAATTTTCTTTTTGATGAGGAAATGTTCCCAAGGAATAAAAATGCATTTCTGCTTTAAAAATAAAATTTAGGAAAAAATGTCGCTTGCGTCCTTTTGGCGGTTAGTGCTAGATATATGTACGTAGCCTGTTTGAAATGTAATATTCTAATACATATTTTTATTTATTTTATTTTACTTAAAAACATGTACCCTTTATTAAGTTACTTAATATGTATTGCAATATTTTTACTTAAGATGCCTTAGGCTTAGAGATTTTCCATTACGACCTGCATATGAGGCATTGAGTGCCAGAGTGGGCTAACAACCATTAAACAAAAAAGAGCTGAGGTACAGCTTAATACGCATTACTGGTATCGAAACTTTAATAGCCAGAGGCTCACCCTTTTAGTTTTCTTTTACTGTAATAAGTAGCACCATGTACATATGTCTGTATGCAGATGCACTGAAATTTTCAATAAAATACCGTATTTGTTATAATATAGATAGACTCGTCTGGCTCTCATGGCCTCATATATGTATACACACATACGTAGCTATAAAAAATATTTGGGTTACTTAGTAAAAAATAATTTTCTGTTCAAACAGTAAAGAAGGGATACAGTGGTTATACAAAATCGAATATGTATGTAAATATATTTATTTATTGATCACAAATCAATGAATTAAATTAAGAAAGGAAAGTAATTACAGTTTTTGTTTTTCAATTTGTGAATGAAAACACCTTAAACTTAGTCGAGCAGAGCATGTTTATTTATAATTAACTTAAATTTGAACTTGAACTGTATTTATTTATTTAGCTAATAAATCTGAACAAAGGCAAATAAAAAAACGTTTTCTTTTCCAAACAATAGAAAAATTGCTCTTCTTTTAGTTTGCTGCCAGTTTTCGAAAATAACCAAATGTTTCTTATATTCGAGCAACTTCTGCTCAAAAGCTGCGATGAATATATTCCAGCAAATCCTCAGTTTTCTTATGCGCCATAATCGCGGCTCATATTTAAAAGAGGAATCTCTTTCAGTTTCAAAGGCATATACATAGTTCTCTGCCGGCGTATAGGATTTCTTCATGGGAAACATGTTAAATTGCAGCATTACATTCATTTTGACATCCAAGCAATATATCACTTATGTAACGCCCACTATACTTGCATTGTCGCTCTCCATGGCTAATACCTCGAAAAGCATGAATAACAGTTCAAACGCCAAACTTGCGTTTGATTTCTTTGAGTCAATTTTGCAGTACTGCGAGATTAGCAGAGCAGGTCCATCGGCTGTAAGGGCTATGTGTATACTTTAAATTACAATACATATGTATATAGTTTTATGGTCAAACTATACTCGTATACAGGACCGCCGAAGGCCCGGCCAGGCCACAGGTAAGATGTCTTTGGCGGGCCCCCTGAATTAATATATTTTTTAGTAAATCTTGTTGTTTGGTCTCGGTCTAAGCCGGCGTAGTGTGAGCGTACTCAACCTAAATTAAATCGATGAACTAGGAGTTGTTAAGAGGTAGAAACAGAGGCTATTTAAATACACGAAAACGATATATTTTGTAATTCGATAGAATTTCGATTCAAAAAGATATGTATAAGGAAACCTTATTGGCTCCTTCGGCTTTGAAGCGGATGAAACGAGGAATACTTTTTGTATATCCGCTCCGCCTTCGAAAGTGTTTTAAAATAAATTTTCTACAAGGCGAATAACAATTTAATCTGGTACGATTTTCCGCAATCCCTTGTCAAATTTTGTTTGGAGACAAACCGGTTTCGGCGTTGTTCCATCTTCGAGAACGAAAAATGACACTGAAGATGGCAGAACCCGAAACCGGTTTGTCTCCAAACCAAATTTGACAAGGGATGACGGAAAATCGTTTCACATCAACATCACGTCGAAGAGACGACAAATGTGCAGCGGACCTAAATCAATTTCCCTGCTGCGGCCACCTGAACAATATTCCTTGGATGCAATCAAAAAACTAAAAATCGGGGCCACTTCAGCAGGCTATGTACGCGCACATATGTAAGTGGATTCCACTGTATAGTAAACCACTTTTCTTTGATAATAATCTCTGCTCAAATGTGGTGAAAAGACAGCTAGCACCTACATATGTACTACATAATGATAACATAAAATCATTCGTATTTGTTTGCATACTTACTTATACATATCCATATATCGAATATATCTACAAACATATATTTAATTACATACATACTACATAAATACACAATTTTGGGTGAATTTATTGAAAGCGTTGATTTTGACACAAATATTTTATATAAGGGCGTTGTGAAGTCATTATACATACATACATATATTATTCTTCGTAAGTGCGTTATGTTTCACAAAACATTAAAAAATTACTTAGTCTTTAATCTATCATCAATTTGCGAAAGCTGCCTTCTGCGCCAAACTCGGCCTCATACGGCACTATATCCCCACGCCGCAGCGGCTCAATAGTGCCATAATTTCCTTCATCTTCAAAATAGTCACGATAACTCTTTAGCAAATCCTCCGTATACGATACGCATTCATGTAGATGACCATTTAAGCCACCATATTCCTCTGGTAAGCATTTTTGCGGTATATATTTGTAAAGTTCCTCCAAAGAATTAACCATAAACATCTACACTTGAAAAAGGGGAGAGTCATAAATATATTATTAAAAACATGGTTATATAGTATAATATGTTGCAAGTTTGATAATAAAGAAAAACCAATAAAAAATGTAGGATATCGAGATTTTATCATCAATGAATATATGTACATATGAGGCGGTGAGAACAGAAGTGGCCTAACCCAAATAATTTTTTTTGTACTTAATAATAATAGATTGGCGCTAACACATATGTCAGTGTTTGGCCGAGCTTCTCCTCCGATTTGTGGCGTGCGCCTCGATGTTGTCACACAAAGCGGATAAGCTGTTTTTCATAGCAGAAATACAATCTGCGGTTTTTTGTACTTACCTACTGAAAATAGTCCCACAATTTTTAAAGCTTACATTCACATATCTTTGTGTACATGTATACATACATACATATGTGTGTCGGCAATAACTTACCGGGGGAAACGTTTCTCTTCTAGCATGTAATGTCTTCATTAACGTCATCCAGTTTTGTATTTCTTTTGGTGCATTCAAACAATAGATCACATTTATGCGCAATGGACAGCAATAATTCGTCCAGTACCACCATTTCCTAAACAGTCCACTATCTAATTGCGCCGCATGTTCAACATTCATATTAGTCATGTCCAAGATCTGGCAAATCCCCACAATGGCGGCATTGTCATTTTCCAGTGCTATCAATTCCATAACCATCGAATCGTATGCCATTATTTCACGCATGTGGTAGCGCTTAGGACAACAGTCGCCCATACGGGATATCATTATGGCAGCATGATCGCTGCATCTGGGAAATTCTGGGAAGTACTGTATTCTGTAAAAATGAAATAAGAATTAGAATACATTTTACACATTAAGAATATATTCATATATAGTATAATGGACCGTATGAATAAAAATTAAGCAATTACTTTTTCTTTAATTTTCAGACCTTTTACTTAAATTTATTTAAATAAATACATGAGTATTGGCATCATTATTTTATTCTTATTAATTATGAAATTTTACGGCGGCGAGGAGCTGATGAGGTGCATGCATCAGCTCGTATGCAGAATATGGTCAGATGAACGCATGCCCGACGACTGGAATTTAAGTGTGCTCTGCCCAATCCACAAGAAAGGCGACCCCGCCATACGCGCCAACTACCGCGGAATTAGCCTTCTAAGCATAGGTTACAAGGTCTTATCGAGCGTATTGTGCGAAAGACTGAAGCCCACCGTCAACGAGCTGATTGGACCTTATCAGTGTGGCTTTAGGCCTGGAAAATCCACCATAGATCAGGTATTCACAATACGCCAAATCTTGGAAAAGACCCGCGAGAATAGGATCGACACACACCATCTATTTGTCGATTTCAAAGCCGCTTTCGACAGCACGAAGAGAAGTTGCCTTTATGCCGCGATGTCTGAATTTGGTATCCCCGCGAAACTAATACGGCTGTGTAAAATGACGTTGAGCAATACCACCAGCTCCGTCAGAATAGGGAAGGACCTCTCCGAGCCGTTTGATACCAAACGAGGTTTCACACAAGGGGACCCCCTTTCGTGTGATTTCTTTAATCTTATGTTGGAGAAGATAATAAGAGCCGCAGAACTGAACCGCTCAGGCACAATACTTTATAAGAGCGTACAATTGCTGGCGTATGCCGACGACATCGATATTATCGGTAAAAACAAGGGCTACGTCTGTTCTGCCTTCTCGGGATTGGATAGAGAAGCAAAGCGAATGGGTCTGGTGGTGAACGAGGACAAAACGAAGTATCTCCTGTCAGCACACAAACAGTCAGAGCATACGCGTCTTGGCACCCACGTCACTGTTGACAGTTACAAGTTTGAAAAAGTAGACGACTTCGTTTATTTGGGAACCAGCATTAACACCAATAATAATGTCAGCCTTGAAATCCAACGGAGAATCACTCTTGCCAACAAGTGCTACTTTGGGCTGAGTAGGCAATTGAGAAGTAAAGTCCTCTCTCGTCGTACAAAGATCACACTCTATAAGTCACTCATCATGCCTGTGCTGGTGTATGGCGCGGAAGCATGGACAATGAAAGCATCTGATGAGGCGGCTCTTGGAGTTTTCGAGAGAAAGATTCTGCGAAAGATTTACGGACCTTTACGCGTTGGTGATGGCGAATATCGCAGACGATTTAACGATGAGCTGTATGAGCTTTACAACGATATAGACATAGTGCAGCGAATTAAAATTCAGCGGCTCCGCTGGCTTGGCCATGTCGTTCGGATGGACAGAAACGCTCCTGCTCTGAAAATATTCAACGCGGGCCGCGATGCTGGGAACAGAGGAAGAGGAAGGCCTCCTCTGCGTTGGAAAGACCAGGTGGAGAAGGACTTGGCTTCACTTGGCATTTTCAATTGGCGTCAGTTAGCACAGAAGAGAAATGACTGGCGTGCTGTTTTGGACTCGGCCAAAATCGCTTAGGCGGTTACAGCGCCAAATAAGAAGAAGAAGAGAAGAATTATGAAATTTTAAGAAAAAGCAATTGCTAAGTTTTTATTCATACGGTCCAATGTGTATTAATAAGAATAAAATAGTGATGTCATGTAGTATGCAATTACAGTACTTTTGTTTTATATGAGCAAATATCACGAGTGTTGCATTTTTCGACAAATACGTATAGAGATCAAATTAAATACAAAAATACAATATAAACATACCAGAAAAGTAAAAATAACCACTCGTGCTCATATACCCGTAGTTGCGTATGTAACGTATACGCACCACAGCACCATACACATTCATACAAGAATGATAGAATACAAGATTGCGCATTCCTGCGTGTGATGAAGTAAAGTTAGCCACGAATGGAGGAGATTAAGGAGAGAATAATTGGAAATGGAGAAGAGAAAAAAATTTAAACTGTCAAATCATGGAGGTCTCCATATTTAAAATTTGTTTACATTGAGTGAACGCGTGAAAATAAAATTATATTCTACTTATATAAATAGTGCACAAATAAAACCAAATCATAATTTTGCTTCGTAAGGAATATCTGGCAGTCTTTTATTTTATTATTTATATTTACAAATACATATATGAGTTTCGGTAAAATCTAATAAATGCCAAGCGGTCGGTAGGAAGGCGCAATTTGGGAACGGTTTAGCTATTTGTCCAATGATTTCGGACTATTGTGTCCGATCCAAAAAAAAATTTATACACACTTGTAATCAATATATAATGTTATGAAGCTTGGTGTCCAGAGATTTTCGTCGTCACTGATTTCGAAATTGAAATTCAACTTTCAAATATCAAAATGGCGGATCCAATATGGCGGACGATTTCTTCAAAAGTTTATTGGTATTTACTCCATATTATTTGACAGATTTAAATGAAATTTGGTAATGAGGGATTTTCGTCGTCACTAAGTTCAAATATTAAATTAAACTTCCAAAATTCAAAATGGCGGATGCAATATGGCGGACGATTTATTAAAAAATTTATAGATTGTTATGAAGCTTGGTATCCAGAGATTTTTGTCGTCACTGATTGAATTTTGAAAATTTTATTTAAATTTCGTAATCAAAGATAACGATAATCTCTGAAAACCAAGTTTCATAACAAACTATAATTAAAACAAGTAAGAAAGTCTAAGTTCGGGCGGAGCCGAACATTAAATACCCGGCGCAAGTATTAAATATATGTTTTTTCACCCTTCCGAAACCTTCCGCTAGATGGTAAGCCGAGGTGTATCAATTTTGAGTAAATTAGCGTCCTTCAATTTCGAAATACTGAAGTTTCAAGCATTTCTTAAATTTACCGTTATATGAGAATCGGCCGTTATTTTAGTCCGATTTCAATAATTTTCAACGTTTTGCTTACACGTGGCAAGTACAATAACCATACCGAGTTTGGTACAAATTGGTAGAACGGTTACTGATATACTTATATGTGATCATAAGTGGGCGGTGCCACGCCCATTTTCCAAAATTTTACCATAAACGTATTTCTTGGTAAAGAATTGTTGCAAGCATCAATTTTGAATAAATTAGCTTCAATCGAAGATTTTGTATTTCTCTAAATTACCGTTATATGGGATGTGGGCGTGGTTATTGTCCGATTTTAAAAAGTTTCGGCGGTTTTTTATGCTGTACCAAGGCCAACAACTTCCAAGTTTGGAAGAAATTGGTGCAGCGGTTACCAAGATATACACATGTAACCATAAGTGGGCGTGGCTACGCCCATTTTCCAGAAATTTATAATATTCTTATTTTTCGTCTAAAACTTATTATAAATATCAATTTTGAGTGAATAATCTCCAGTAGTTACTAAAATATCGCAGTTTTCGTATTTCTGAAAATTACCGTTATATGGGAAGTGGGCGTGGTTATTGAGCGATTTTAAAAATTTTCGGCCATTTGGTATGTTATGCGAAGGCCAACAACTGTGCCAAGTTTGGAAGAAATTGGTGCAGCGGTTACCAAGATATACACATGTAACCATAAGTGGGCGTGGCTACGCCCATTTTCCAAAAATTTATAATATTCTTATTTTTCGTCTAAAAATTATTGTAAATATCAATTTTGAGTGAATTATCTTCAATAGTTACTAAAATATCGCAGTTTTCGTATTTCTGGAAATTACCGTTATATGGGAAGTGGGCGTGGTTAAAGTCCGATTTCGCCCATTTTCAATACCAACCTACCTTGGATTAAGGGAAACCTACGTACCAAATTTCGTTGAGATATCTCAATTTTTGCTCGAGTTATCGTGTACACGGACAGACGGACAGACGGACAGACGGACGGACGGACGGACAGACAGACATGGCTTAATCGATTTCTTTTTTCATCCTGATCATTTATGTATACATTTGTCTATATCTATCTCGATTCGTTTTGGCTGTTACAAACAACCGTTATGTGAACAAAATTAATATACCCTTGTGCACAAGTGCGCTCGGGTATAAAAAAAGTGGTCCGCCATATTGGATGCGCCATTTTGATTTTTGAAGGTTTAATATCAATTTCGAAACCAGTGACGACGAAAATCTGTGGATACCAAGCTTCATAACAATTTATAAAGTTTTTAAGATATCTTCCGCCTTATTGTATCCGCCATTTTGAATTTTGAGAATTTGATATCAATTTCGAAACCATTGACAACGAATACCCCTGGATATCAGATTTCATTGAAGGGGAAAGGGGGGGGGGGGGGGGGG